TTGAAGCCTTCATATTTAAGTGGATGACATTTGAAGATATACTTATAAGTGAAATAAACCAGACCCACGTGTATAAATATCATATAGTCTCCCTAATATAAGAACTCAAAAGAAGAAATACAAATAGAAAGGTATAACACAATTAAAAGGAAGGTGAGAGCTTGAGGATTGGACAATGAGGAGAGGGCAAGGAGAAAAGCTGGGAAGCATGACAGGGGCAAAGCCATACATTTATACACATAAGATGGGTAAGGCAAGGATCCTGAGAATCTATAACATGTTTTTGAAACTAGCAGTTAATTGGTAGGATTCTCACCCTGACTAACTGTAGATGCTGATAACTATGAACTAAGCAGCTGCACTAAAGATAGCAATGTGTAATGGTATGGTCATGCTCAGAATGCCTGCCATTCTGGTCTTCTAAATATGTACTGCTTGTCATGACATACCAATTACTGCCCTACTGTCTCTCAAGTAAATGTTTGTTTAAAAAAAATATGGCAATAAATGAAAACAAGAGACAGGAAAAAAGTCACAGACCGGTCCTGCTACAATGCTGTATATGATTAGATTTCCTAATTTCTGTGTAAAATTATGTAATTGTTTATTCATATTTTTCAAATTTTTTTTTAAATTTTTGTCTTCATATTCTGCAGGGACTTGAAGTTTAACATATCAATACTTGATGGAAAACACCTGCTCCATGTTATGCCTAAGATGTTTGATATTTAGACAGACAGGTTAAACTCAACTGCATATACTGTAGGGTAAAAATAAGCTTCTCTTCTGGAGGGTTAACAACCTAAGTTTGCAGACCAAAAATTAGAGGAAAAAAAAGGGCTGCAAGGTCAGCCAACGTTTTGGCCTTAGCCTTTCAGGGTCAGTGAGGACTCATAACATAAGAGAACCTATAGTGTAACATTCTGTAACTCAGTTGTGTCCCAAATTTTCTGATCAAGGAGATTATTGGGCCACAGAGGAATGTGATCAATGATGTAGAGTGTGCCTAAGGACAGTTACATGGAGAGAAAACATTCTCTCAGGCTTTCACAGAAAGCAAATTGGTCAAGCAATGGCCATGACTCATCCCCATGGCTGACACTCACAAAGGATCTACAAACTGCTGTATACAGTTTCAGGTTAAATCCTGAAGGGATTTGACTGACCTTATCAGATACAAAAGTTACATTTCTTGTTATATAGGTCTTGCTTTATCTTAGTCTTAACCATCCAGCAGAAAAGTATGAAAATGAAGTATAAAAAGTAAAGCCACATTAATATGCTGAACTGTAAAAGGCTCAAGTCAACAACTTTGGATATTGCCAGTCTTACAGAAAACCCACTACTATTATGAACTACTGAACTCTATTGGGAGATTCTGCTGAATCCAAGCACCTACAATATTTAAATGACAATGGAATGCCCTTCTCTGACAAAACTAACCAAAAAAGTGGGATAGAAATGAATGACCCTTTTGTAGCTATATACTCAAAACAGTTAGGATAGATATACAGCTCCACTCTCTTAATTCAATGAATAAAGAGCTTTGTTATAACAGTGTTTGAGACAGGATATCATGTCTGCATCTTGTACAATGAATAACCACTAAGACAACAATATGCAATGTATTAATTACTGTAAATGTGCCAGTAATCAGTTTTGAAACTGTCTCATTGATATGTTTCTCAATAAATTAAAAAAAAGATTTGCAGTTTATGATAGTCAATTGTTTTTAGAACAATATAAATGGCCATATCATAGTTTATGGTTTTTCTTTCAAAAGGATGTTAATAAGTCCACTGCTAGTAAAATGAAACATCGGTCCTCCTATTTAGACAATTAAGTCCATCACTTTTAACCAAGATAGTATTAGTACTATTACTGGGCTTAAAAAAACTGGGGGAGCCGGGCACAGTGGTTACCCTGCGGAGGGTGAGGCAGGAGGATTTCCAGAAGTTTCAGGCCAGCTTGGATTACACAAGTGATTACACAGTGAGTTCAAAGCCAGTCTGAACTTCATAAGGAGACCCTGCCTCAAGAAACAAGCAAATAAACACCTAGAAGAATATAATGATCTGGTTCACATGAACACAGCATCTGGCTTCTTTACCAATCCATTTCCAGCAGTTGTGAACAAACATTAAATGAGTGAGAGCAAAAGTGATTCAATGAATGAAGACATATAGAAGTACACTTTCGAACTTCAAATTTCTTGTAAGATAACAATGTACATACAGATTGCACATCCCTAATCTGAAAATGCGAAATTTTGCAAAATTTGAAACTTTTTAAGTTTTTTTTTCTTTTTTTAACTTTTTAAGTTCTGATGCTCAAAAAGTTTCAGATTCTAGTACGCTTCAGACGTTGAGATTTTGGATAAGGGTGGTTAACTGGTAACATCTATACAAATATGCCAAGATCCTAAAAAATCTGAAACTCATCTGATCTGCCGCCATTCCAAACAGGGATACTCAACTCTTACAGAAGTAATCATGACAGTACTGTCACAGTGTAAAAGATATACAAAGTATCATGATAGACTAGAGCAAGAATAAATGTCACGGAATTGGCATAACAATCTGTCACTGTGCAGCTAATACAGGCTGCTAAAATTCGGACAAACTCTGAGTTGCACCCCAGCTTTGTCCCTTATTGGCTGTGCATAAGCTGGTTTACAGTTTGAAGAAACACTGGTTCAACATGGAGTACATGCCAGAAGACATCATGCATTTTGACATGAATACTTGGTCCTTAACTTAAAGGAACTTCTACTTTAACAAAGAGGCAGAGAGATCCACAAATGAATCACTACCAAGCCTAAGCATCAGTTTCATGGTTTGTGAAATAAGAATAATTGGGACCTAGTAGAAGTCAACATAGTAAGATAGGTCTGTATACCAAACTGTGGTATATAGGAATTTCTCAGTAATTTGTAATTCTTGCTTGCTGAATCTTATTTCATCAAATCAAGAACTCTCAGACATTAAAATATTGAATATAGCTAAAACTAAAGCTGACCAAAACTACAAAAATGTTAAATACAAAACATGAATGAGAATTTTTTATACCACCTGCTTATACGTAAGTTAACTCATCTTAGTTGACTCATTTACATTTTTCTTTCTAAAGCCTTTGAATATATAAACAAAAACAGTACTTTTACTATTCCAAATTTATATGCTTTTACAATAAGTAAGTTTAACTAGATATGCACAACTAATTTTCTGAGAAAAGCCCAACTGGGAAAATTATTCTAAAGAACTGTGAACACAAGGGGTGTTTTCCTCCCGATGAATTCATTTTATAACTACTCCTGTGGCTACTGTGCACACTGCTGTGCATGAGGCCTGAGACACTGAAGAAATGCATGGGCAGAAGGTGGCACTCAAATGCAGAAGGAACTGTCAGCCCTTGTTCACAAGACCGATCTTCAGCAGCTACATAAAAGCCACCATTTACATATTCAAGGACCACAAGTCCCCAAATTGTTGTTCTGGACCAGGAAGAAAAGGGGAACGGCTCGGAAAAGATGTCAAAAAGTGCGTCGGTAAAAAAATATGAATAAAACATTAAGTAAGAACAAAAGCCCCTCTAAAAACATGAATAGTAAGGGGAAAACACTGAGTTATCCTGCTGTGCATACTATAAAAGGCTAAATTCATAGTAGGACCAACAACCACATTCCTGAAAATTTCTCACTTGACAAGATATCCTTCCTGGCAAATGCACCATTGGCTACTGGAATCAAGAAATTAGCAAAACTTTTTATGCCTTCTTTATGCACAAATCTCTCCCTGCTTCTCCATTTGAGACTTCTTCAGACACTTTCTGAGTATGCACTCTTCCCAGGCCTTGCAATGCTGTGCACAGAAAGACGAATAAGACACTTTACCAGGATGTAGGCATAGCTTAGGAGAGAGATACAATGAGAAATAACCAGGTACAATATAAAAATGAAAAAATAAAGCATAAAAAAAATGCTGGTATTATAGCAGAAGCAGGGTTTTTTTTTGTTTTGTTTTGTTTTGTTTTTGTTTTTGTTTTTTTTGCGGAATTGGGGATTGAACTCAGACCCTTGCACTTGCCAGGCAAGCACTTATTCTACTGAGCCATCTCCCCGACCCCTAAGAGCAGCATTTTAAGCTTATCATAGAGGTGTTTTGGGTTTTTGGTTTGTTTTGTTTTGTTTTTTGGTGGTACCAGGGCTCAAACTCAGAACCTTGCACTTGCCCGGCAAGCACTTATTCCACGGGAACTATCTCCCCAGCCCTTAAGCTTGCCTTAGAATCAGAGGGATTTCACAAAGGAGGTAGCAAATGAGCAGAGCTTTTTTATTTTTATTTTATTTTATTTTGTATTTGGTACTGCGTCTCATTATGCAGCTCGGACTTGTAGCGATCCTCCTGTTTTCAGCCTCCCCAGCACTGGGATTATAGGCGCACACCACCATGCCTGGTCTCGGTGGCTAGCTCACTGCACCTGGGGGCAGGGCTGGCACAACAAGTGGTGTCAGGGATCAAAGCCCAATCCCTGCATTTGCCTAAGCAGGTGCTTAGTCCACTCAGTCTGCCAGCCCTATGAGCAGAGTTTTAAAGGATAAATGGAAGACTATCAGGTCAGAAAAGGCATAAAGACAGACATCAATAAAAACAAGGATAGAAAGGCATTAAGTCTGTTATTTTAGTATCTATGCTATTTCTCCTATGAGGAATAAGGACAAGCTCAATGTGGCTGAAGCAGTGGCACAAGGGCGGTGGTGAAGGCAGGAAATGAGATTTCAGAAGTGCAGCCTTGTGAAGGATCTTGTATGCTCTACTACTTAAGCTAAAAAGTTTCAACAGCACTGCCAAGTATTTTAAAGATAAGTAACAAGAGTGGTTGTGCAGTAAGGCCAGTAAAATGCTTATAAAAATGTTATAAAGCCTAGCATAAAGCAAGCATCCAATTAATGCCACTGATATTATTCTAAGCAAATACAGAGTCAAAGCAAGAATAATCACCTTATGTCTTTAATAGTTGCTCGTTTCAGAGGGTCAACCTGCAGCATATGCATCAGGAGAGTAGCAACAGAGCGATTGAGATATTCTGGGATATAAAACACACCCCCGCGGATCTTCTTAAACAAGGTGGGAACGTGCTCATCATCAAATGGGAGGGTGCCACAGAGAAGCGCATACAAGATGACGCCACAGCTCCAGATATCAACTTCAGGGCCTGCGTACAGCCTAAAAAGGATAACATGCCTGAGAAGCAAGTACCACTCTTTTCTCAGCCTTTGCTTGAGGATTTTGACTGGCTTAGGCTGCCTCAAGGGCGGGTTTGGTAAGGCAGGTAGAGCTGGGGATCCAACCACGATATCTTGCACCTGACTGCATTTGCATGAGCAAGTACTTAAACTCCTGAGCTAATTGGCAGGCCCCCTCCTCAGCCTTCTGTACCCTGATTCTACATACAAAGATTGTACAGAGTCCAGGTATTTTGATTTCTGAGGTTTTAAAAATAAAGTCCATAGCCACATCTAATCCTCAAGGGTTATTCTCCATAAGGAATGACTGGTCTAATCAGTTACGTTGGAAGTTTGCCATAACAATGTGATTTACATTTGTCACCAATTCACTTAGTTGTAATTTACTTTATTGAAAAACTTTCTGTGGTTGATTTTTGAAGGAAACATCAGAGGAGATAATTGCAAACTTGAAAAAAATAACAGTACAGTGTACAAGCTCAGTCTTCTCCCACAGAATTATGTTAAGGAAAAAAATGCATTTAACAGAATTTTTATCCTTGGCATACTTGTTTTAAAAGTATTTGAAATACTAAAGTACCTAACTAGTACTATGGAGACAGAATTTGTACTTATTGCTTTTATTCTAATCACTTGTTAGTCACAGAACTAAGATTAGCTTCACTCCAGGTAACCTGTCCACAGTTGTCACCTGCTGTTCTCCTTCATCTTTCTAAAGCATTAAAATTCCTGACAGCATATTATTAAACTCAAACCTGGTCTGAGGTGACAAAATACATTTGTATAGTTCCAGTGCAAAAGACATAAAATATTTCTTGAAAAATTGCTGTTCCTCATTTATATCACTTGATGTATTAACCAAACTCCTTGCAGTGCTCATGTCCCCTGAAAATTCATATGCTGAAATCTTCACTCCCAAATCAATGGTATCATGATGTGGAGACTCAGGGGAAGCTAGGTCACAGGGCAGAACTCTCAGGATGGGATTAGTCCCTTTACAGAAGAGACCACACAGAGAGACTGCTTTCCCTTCCACCATGGGAGGTTACAGTGACCAGACAGCAGACTATGATGAACAGGTCCTACCAGGCATCAAGGCTGCCAGCACCTTGCTTTTGGACTTCCCAGCCTCTAAGATCATAAGAAATAAACTTCTGTTGTTTAAAAGCTACTTTATGATACTGTTATAGTATCCCAAATGGATTAAAACATGCCTATATCTGCTACTTGTAATACTTTCCTGTATCTGCTACTTTTTAATATTTTAATATGTATGTTAACTTTTAAATCACAAACTGGCCACTGTAGAAAGCCTTGACTTCCCCACTGTACTCTGCATAAATATTATACTGTATCAGTCAATAAATTACTTGTATAGTCTCCATTTATATAATTTCTTGAAACAATATTATGCTCCAAATTCCATTTCAACATTATTGCTTCTAAAGGCAAAATATAAAACAATATTCTATAGACTTTATAAAATATGTAAAATAGTAAGGTGTGTAGTAGATTCCTATAATCCCCCTACTCTGGAAGAGGAGGCAGGAGGGTTGAAAGTTCAAACCCTGAATGACTTAGCAAGACTGTTTCAAAACAAAAACTGAAAAGGTCTGGCGATATATAGTAGCTCAGTTTGAAGGCCCTGGGTTCAATTCCAATACCACAATCAAACAGTAAACTATTACTCATACTCTACCTAATAATGACACTAGCTTAAACTCAGCCAGTGCTTCCTCTCTTACCCGTCCTTTTCTAAAATGAAAGACCTACTATGTCAGATCAGTTTCCCTTTTTCTTCTTCTTCACTACTACAGATTCAACCCCTATCCTCAAGGATGGTAGACAAGCCTTTTCCCGCTGAACTACATTCCAGGCCCTTTTTACTTTCTGGAGTCAGGGTCTAATTAAGCTGCCAGGCTACCCTCAAACTTGGAGCCCTCCTGCCTCAGCTGCCAAGTAGCTGGATGACAGGTCTGTGCCAGCATGCCCAGCTCAGTTACATTTTTAATGAAAAATATTTAATTAAAAAGGTATTTAATATAATTCTTTTCCCTGCAACAAATGAAAAATAAGTGAGCAATTTGTTTCTGTGTTAAAAATCTTAATTTCCAAAAACCATACTATAATTAAACATTACAAAATTACAAAAAGCTTCATCTAATTTATTACCTGCCCGAGATGACTTCAGGTGCTGCGTAATTTGGAGATCCACAACTGGTTCGTAGAAACTCACCATCTGACATCATATTAGATAGTCCTGAAAATAAAAACAATGCTTATTTACTGCTAGACATTTTAGACATAGATAAAAACTTTCAAGTGCTTAATGCTCCACATCTTACTTTTTAAAGCAGTGAAAAGCACTTGTTAGATTTCAAAGAGATCATTTCACAGAGCTTACAAGATTATAAAAAAAGCTAAAGAATATCATGTGTATGAGTGGAGTTAAATTGCACTTCTAAATAAACAAACTCATTACTTTACAAAAGATGTTATTCTAAATTATTTTAACTGTTCCAAAAGTGCAATCATCAAAATATTATCTACTTCTACAATTGAAAGAATAAAATAGATGCTACTATGCTTTTAAAAGCCTTTCTAGCCGGGGATGGTGGCACTTGCCTCTAATCCCAGCACTTGAGAGGCTAAGGCAGGAGGATTGCCATGAGTTCAAGACTGGCCTTAACTGCGTAGCAAGACCTTTTCTAAATACACAGCTTCTCTGAAAAAATCAGTAATTCAAAAGCTGCAATTGATAGGCAGGTTACTTTTTTGAGGTTTTTAATTTAGAAAGCTTTAACAGAAAAAAAATCTATCGATTCAAAAATCTAGTTGAACTATAGTATTAAAAGAGTTTCACTGTTTAGAGAAGAGAAATAGTGCAACTAGTTTTCCTAGTTTACAGACAAACTGGAGGATTTAAACCAGCAAGGCTGAACTCTGGCACCCTCACATCTTTTTCCCAAGACCTCACATTCTCATCTGTTTCTCAAATATGCGGGTATATTTACAACAGAAAGTCTTTGGAGCATAAAAACCAGATTTTACCTTGTCTTTACCTGTGATGAAACAGCCATTCTCTCATTAAGTTGTTAGACATTACACTAAGATTCATGGACCTCTCCACCAATCACAGAAGGACTAACAACTTTTTTCAAAGATGCATGCAAATTTTCCTGTAGCTGTTTATGAGCATTCATTAGGGAAAATGATGTACCTTCACATTTTCAAAGGAGTTTGGGACTCCTCCCCAACCCTCTAACCCCTGTACTGACCTTTGGTAAAAAAAAAAAAAAAAAAGAAAAGAAAGAAAGAAAAGAAAAGTATCATTAAGTATCATTTCCTCAGGAACAAATGCTGAATTATCTTTTTTATTTCAGTGTTTTATCAGTACCTGTTTCAGTTTACAATGAACACATACCTTGTGAGATTTGGTACACATATATAACACATCTTAATTCTTTTTTCACCCCGCCCCACCTACCTCCATTTCTTATCCTTTTCCTTTTTCAAAAAATCTATATACCTATCTCTTTGTGTTCTTTATTAATACTTTAGGTTTCCTATCTAAGAGAAACGATGTGATATTTAAGTTTGTATGTCCTATTTATTTCACTTAATATTACGGCCTCAACATCCGAGATGAACACACGCTTCTCAGAGGATGAAATTAAAGAAGCGAATAAATATATGAAAAAATGCTCCACATCACTAGCCATCTGTGAAATGCAAATTAAAAC